GTTTTTAAAGTTTTAAAGACGGGGGTTTAAATAGATTGGTGAAAAGTTTTATCCTAATCTAAATTACATAAAAAACAAAAACTAAATCATTGAAATGACCGAATCAAAAATTGGAAAAAGAAAGTATAACAAAGGACATCTGGTAAAAGGAGTTTAGATTTTTAGGATGGTTTAAAGAGCATATAACAAGAGAATATTATTATTTTAGGTTAATGATAAGACAAAATCGACCTTAATGCTTTATTTAAGTAATTATGTATGTATGGCGCAATTCGATAGTATATATATAGCGATTGTTGGGAAGTTTACACCAATTTACAAGAGATTGGTGTAAAACGCTAAACAATTAATCATTCTGAATATTTTAAAGATCTAATACAGGCGTTTACACTAACATAATAGAAGAATTTTAGTCTGCTTTAAAAAAAGATATACATTAGGTGTAGAATCAGGAAGCTTATAAATCCTTATTAAGTTTAATTTATGCTGTTGAAAAATTACAAAATTGGTCCCTTATATAGTTGTTTTAGGCCTTTATTAAATAAAAACTTAAAAGATTAAATTTTTATATATTATATTTACTGTTCTCAATCTTCTCAATTTTATTTTCTAAATAAAAAATTTTAGGACCCGCTTTTCTGTCAATCCGGGCTACAAACTTTTAGAAAGTGTTGTGACACAAAATATCATTCCTTGATATAAGAAATTTAAAAAGATATTTTACTTAAAATTTTATTACAAGTATTCAATTAAATCGATATTAGATGCTTTATAGTGTTTACTATGGGTTTTAACTATGCAATCAATTTGTGTAACATTAGACTTTTTCAGAAAATTTAGGTCAAACATAAAAAAAATTTTTCTTTTCGTTGAATCAATCATTAGCTTAAAGGCCAATCTATTCTTCTTCTTGTCGAAAGCGAAACATTCTAGATTTTTTTCATCAATATCTTCTTGAAAGTTAAATAAAACGGAAATTAATGAATCACCAAAAAATTCTCCGATGCATTGATCATAATCAAAAAGTTTGAATTTGTGATTTGGATCCTCAACTAGACAAAATAAGTTACGTAGATCTTCAAAAAAGCAGCTCCATAAATGAATATTTTTAAAATCACTAAAATCCTCATTAAAGCGTATAAATTCATTTTCCCAAAAGGTATTTAAATTGTTTTCCATAAAATTTGTAAAAAACAAAGATAACCTATATTGTAACAGTTCATTAATATCTTGTAATATCAAAATAAATTCTTCTAGAAAATCAATAATCTTACTATAATCTCTGTCAAAAAATGATAAAATGTAATCTTTGTTTTCTAAAGCATGCATAATTCTTGATGCAGATTTATTTGTTAATCCTTCAAGAAGTTGACAGGACAATGAAATTGTTTTTTCCTTATTTAACAATACAAATTCTGTAAAACCAGTTTGTAGTTTCAAACCTATATCATCAACACTTTGAAAATCTTTTTCGACTTCAATAACATACTGAGATTGTGACGCATTATTAAACAACAATGAAGCAATTTGTATGTAAAGAATATTGTTTTGCCCTAAGGGTGTAATAAAAATTAATTCGTGGAATATCTTGTCAGTATTTGTAAAATCTTTTGAAAAACAATATAAGCTTTTAATGTAAGTATTAGTTATCCGATTAGAATAAATACAAAGAAATCCAGAAATATCAGAGTGCGGTGATTTGACTTCCGTTATAATTAGAATATTATTGTTAGATGAATAATAGTTTTTTATATAAAAGTCATAGTTTGCTGGTGAAGTACTTTTTAAATCAATATCATACATTTTATGTATTTGTGGAACTACTGGGAATATTTGTAATGAATAAATATAAGACATCTTAAATAATACATTCATCTTGTTCATGGGCATTTTTATTTTTTAATATTTATATAAAATTTATTTTTAAAGTATAAAATGTTTTGTATCATATGCACGTATTTATTTTTTACAAAATTCAATTTTACTGCTAATAAATATTTTCATTTTACTTTGTTAACTTAAAAATCATAATTTTTTGTTTTCCTTTTGATTTTTTATTAAATTAAAAAAGGAAAATTTTATGCTTTTTTATAAAATAAGTTGTTGGGATTAAACATGAATTTTAATTAATCAAAATATATTAAAATTTTTAATTTGAACATTTATTTATTTTTTAATCCTTTTTTTAAAATTTGTAAAACTCTTAGTATTTTTCACTAAAAAATAGTAACAAACAACTTAAAGTTATTACTCTATGAACGGTACAAAATATTGTAAACATTTCTCTTTAGTTTATTTAATTATTCAAGTTGTAAATTGTGCACTATTGCCATTTTTTAATTAAAGAATGTTGGTTTTAATTAAATACAATACATATATGCATAAGGACATATACACACGATTTTGATAAAAGAAAGCATACAAGTTATTTATTCTGTTTTAAACAGGATAGCGTAAGCTAGTAGAAAATATTTAAATAGTCAGAAGTCAAACATATAAATAAACTTATGATTATTTAACACCTCCGAATTTACTATTTCTACATAAGTAAAGGCTTTTTTGTTACACTATGCAATTTGTTTAATTTAACTGTATTTTTTTAACAAAAGTCACTTAAATAATGTTATGATGTTTTATATCACATAAAAAATTAAATGAGCAAATATTTATAGTGAAAGCTAGGTCGGAACGATATTTACTCAGGACGAAACCATTATACGGACTGTGCTGTGGTAAAAAATGCTTTTTATTGAAAACCATAATTATTAGTGTAGTATTATAACCACTGAAAATATTATAAGCCAAAATTTATTTAATTATTTTCTATAATTCTGATAGGTAAAAATAAATATTTATTTGATAAATTAAAATAAATGACGCGTCGTAAATAATACCACAATTAAAGATAAATTTTTTTAAATAGTTTTAACTCCTTATTTGTCACCAATAATAAATCTTTATGATAACTAATAAGCCAAGGGACAATTATCTTGTAGGGGAAATTCAAATAAAAAAATCTTTTTTTGATATTTATTTGCCATTGGTTGTCTTGGGTACAAAACTATAAATTTTGTAAACTATTGATCATGCTTATCCTCTTGACGTTATGTTCAATTTTTTTTTCTGACTTTATCCTACAAATAAAATGTTCTAATTGTGTAAAATATATCTTTCCATATAAAACCTATATATTATTAAGAAGGATAGCTCAAATATTAGTATATAAACACTATTAATTTGTAGAATGTCTTATTTAAATTTGCATGGTAAAAGTTTTTAGTGATGGAAAAATACAACAATTTTTTTTTCATATTCTTTTACATTTTATATTATTTCTACGTCAATTTGTAAGATTTTTGTATCTTGTTAGCAACATTAACTTGAAAAAATTAAAAATTTATTATTTTTTGTAATAAATGTACAATTCTGATATCTTTAAAGACTCTTATGTTAAGATATTTGAAAATTTAGAAAATTTATCAATAATTATAAATAATGTTTGATTTTATACAAAATTTTAAATTTTATTTTTTTAAAATAATGGACAAAAATAGGGAACTGAAAACAAAATTAAAAAACTTACCATAGCAGCTCGGATAACAAGTAAAACCATACAATCCCAGATGAATATATCAAGGCACAAGAAGATTTTCTAACTTTTAATTTAACCACTTCTACATTAACTATCTCTGATGCAACATACTTTAAAAAACCTGGCCAGTGGAAGCTTTGTGGTAAATCGTGAGCAGTTAGAAACAAATGCTACGAGGGGATTGGTAGAAGATTTACGGTGTTCAATTGCAATAAATTTAATAATTAATGATTTAAATGTTTTTTAAAAAAGGCCGGAAAAGCCTTTATTATTATGTTAAGTAGTCCATAAAAAGTCAGAAAATCTAGAGACAATACCGGTCACTCAGGGTAATTAATAATATAGATATAATTTTAAAAAGAATAGAGCCCAAAGAATTTTGATGAATGGCAAAACTGATTAAACTTTTTAAAAATTTAGAACAAAAAAAAGATTATAGGTAAATGAATGGTTTCTAATAAAGAAAAAAGCTATTAAAAAATATATGAAAGTAACAATAATAGGTTAAAAGAAGTTTTTACTAATTTACCCTATAAACAGTATAACGGATGTTGCACGGATACTTTAAGAGACTCGAAGACCAACGAAATGAACACTTAGTGAAAGCAAATAGATATACAATACAAAAAGTAATTTGACAAACTAAAAAATCTGATAGCACTATAAAAAATTTTGAAATTTTCTATTAGCCTAAAATTTAAAGAAAGGAGAAGCAATTAAAATTATGCATCAAATAAATTTGATACTGTATAAGTTAAAGGATATTATTGAAAGTATTGATCTAAAGCTACGAAAATTTAAAGCAATTTAGAAAAGAAAATTTCAAATTTTAGCTATACAGAGGAATATTTATAAAACTTTTAAAATCTGATCTAGATGAAAGTGTAGCAAAAAAACTTATAGGCGCAGATATTTGTTCATTTTGGAACAAAATGGGGGTAAAGAAATGGAAAAGAATAAAAATAACGAAGAATATTTTATATTGTATACTAAAACCTAAAAATGAATAGTTCGTTTTTTTGGTGTATGAAATTAAGTTTATAGAAAGTATATAGTCCTATCTAATCTGAAGTAAAAGGGTTCAGATAAGATTTATAATTATCTCATAAAAAATATGGCGAATTTATATGAATTATCTAAGATAATACAAAAAATGTGTCTATCGGAATGTAACGAAGAAGATTGATTTTAAAGGAATTACTTATTTAATATCAAAAGGAGTAAGAAACAAGGAAGTATTACAAACCAATCAGATGTATATCAAATTTATATAAATTGACAACAAATTTGCAGAAGAAACCATGGAAATGTAAATAGAAGTACAAATTTGCTATGTAATAATTAAATGGAAATAGTAAGGAAGGCCTAATGTGCTAAAGAACAGGCACACACAAATATACTACTAAATAAGACCCAGAACTTTAAACTAAAGGTGAAATAGATGTCAAAAGGAGTTTGACACTGTAAAACAAACTATTTATTTTTTCGTATAGAAATCAAAATATCCAGACATAAGTCTCAAATTTTTAAAAGTATTATCCTACGATTGAATCTGAAAGTAAGAGCTAATAATGATCGATTTTACACAAAAAAATGAAAATTCATATTTTAAAGAGATGGTCTCTTTATTTTTTGCTATTTGTATCATGCTTGAACCTATTATGTAAGAAATTAGATATATTCTAAAGTCGAAAATCTACTTTAAATCTACAATTTTTTACAACTATCTGCTCTTTATCAACGATCTTAAAATTATTACAAAAAAGAAAAAAAACTGCATAAAATGATCAAAAAAA